CATAGACACACTTTGACTTGGTCAATAGCGAAGTGGCCGCTACCATTGTGTGCTAGAGGCCGTCAATTCTTTCACTAAGTGGGCCGAAGTTATCCCGTTGGCTCGATATGATGCTTCCTCTGTTGCCAAGGCGTTCCCGGCACTGTGTAATCTCTGGGGCCTGCCGAAGGTTGTCCGCATGGATAATGGGTCTGAGTTTCGGAACGCGCTCGTTGAGTCTGTCTTCAAGTACTTCGGTGTCCGAGTGAAGACAGGAGCCGTCAGACACCCGCAGTCCCAAGGAACTGCTAAACGCTTAAACAGGACATTGCTTGGCCTGATTCGGAAGTTTGACGACGAGTCGAGCAGTTGGAGAGACGACCTGGACGTCCTGCTGTGACAATATCGACAGCAACCCCATGCCTCTACCCGCGTGTCGCCAATGGAGGCCATGATGGGATAACACCCGGACTACGTCATCGAGAGTACTGCTGAAGCGTGTGTCAATTGACTTATTGGAGTACTGTGTGACTCCGAAGTAGCAACAAACTCGGCCATTTGAACATGATCTTAACCGTCCACCTCTCCACACTGCCCTCTTCGTTATCTACCTCTGCTGGGGTACTCATATTGAGGAAAACAGCTGTCTGGAGGATATGGAACATCTCCCCAAGAACGAACTTCCTCGCTATGGAGTGGTGTTGTGACTGTGGGCCAAGAGTGCAGTGTGGAGAGGTGGACGGTTAAGAGCAGTGTTGCAACGAATAGCAAAATCACGAACGAATATTCTAACGAATAAGCAACGTACAACAAAAAGAATATTCTACTATTCTACCCAAATAGACGAGCCCATTTCAGCACACTATGTATGCTTTTTTGTTTATTTGAACCAGAGCGCACTAAAACATGACCACATCTTTTGTGGAAAAAGTCGAGAAAATTGCGATTTGAATTCCGCGGCAAAAAAAATACGAGTGGCGAGTTGCTGTTCTTGTTCTCCTCGCGCTCAGTAGACTGGATCTGTTCTGGATGCAAGTTTTTCTTGCAAGTAAGTTTATTTGTTTGAGTTTGTATCCCATGTTGCGCTGAGTCGCCTAAAACGGATCGTCGCCAATGCATCGAAGGAAGAGCCTAATGACTATGTACTGCGGAGCGGAAGAAGACGACATCCTCGCGCTCCATGCGCAGAAATGTAGGTTTGCAGCGTACCGCAAACCGTAGTTATCGCTGACAACCGAGCAGCAGGCAAAAGCCACGCGCGTGGTTAGGCACGCAACAATGGGGTGTCTGGCATACAATGGCGGGAAGTCGTACTGGGTAAAGCCCAGGCCGCACCACGAGTACGAGTACGCCCTCATGCGCAGGCGAGATTACCCCATATTTGCATAAAGGTATCAGTGCTACTAATGCGATGTTTACTACAAGCAGGGCTCATGGCGCCTAATCTCTATAATAGGAAGCAGTTCCTTTCATGGCAAGTAAGGACTCCAGCGCGCGTACTACGCCTCAGCCAAGGTACAGTACTACAATTGCGCTCGGTGAAATCCGGCCCGAAGTGCAAAGCCGGCGCCGCGAAGCCAGCTCCCATTTCATCACTGGCGATTTGTGTGTATGACCTCAACTGTACGCACCTCGTGTAAAATTTCGGAGTGCGCGTGTTGCATGCTAAAAACAGTTCAAAATTTCTTTCATTAGGGACCTTTCGCACCACACGTACGGGTACGAAGCGAATGCTTATTCGTCACCTGTGTTCGAGGATTCGTCAGATTCCCTGCGGAGAGCTCATCTTCACGAATGGAAGCCTCTTCATTCGTGGCGTGCTCCGAATCCGTCAGGTACACATTTATTTGGCCAGGTACACATATTTTGCCAGGTACACATTTTCCCTTGATTCCATGATCCATGCACGTGTGCGTGTAAACACCCGTACGCCAAGCTACCGGCCGTAGTCGTAGTTGCCATGCACATCTGCATGACGACTTGCGAAACCTGAATTTGTTTTCAACGAAACGATTACGAGCCGAATCAAACTTTCGTTTCACATTCGATTCGCAGCAAATGCAAAAGGTCTCTATTCACTTCACGGAGTACAGCTCATGAAGAGATAGAGAAGAAAGACATGGCCATTCCCAAAATCTCGTACAGAGTCCACAGTGCAGACAGAACAGCAAACAAAGGACACACAAACATGCTCCGCAATCCCATTCTCGACAGTTTTCTTCGCAAGCCCTATTCAAAAATGGAGAATAATGAGTTATTTGGAGGAAATGAATTGAGTAGACGAGAAAAAATAGCGACCCTCTACAGAGCAGGTCATACTCCGAGACAAATTATGGACATAACCGGTTACAAGAAGGCTCAGGTGAGTGAAACAGATCATCAATAATATGATAAAATAGAGAACAAATCACAAAACAATCTTCGATTCTATTGTCCATGTTCAGGTAAAGGACACATGCAATCGAGTTGAAATTGGAAGATGCGTAGCAAGACAGGCAGGCAGCGGAACAATCCCGAGACTCTCACCTGTGGGCATGGAGTTTGTTGCTGATCACATCGCTGCCAATCGCTTCGCGAGCAATGAGACGATTTCTGAGGTTCTGGACACGGAGCAACCTGGTGGGGAAATGGCAGCCCCCAGCACGGTACAGGTCTGCTCTCGATATAACAACTCTCACTTGTACATAAACCTCGCTAGTAAGTAAAAAAATCAGATCCCGCGCCGAAACAGCATCACTCCCACACAAATTTTGTTCTACACAACATAATCCTACATAACATAAACCTCGACATAACACACGCTACGGCGCGGTCCCCGACGTGCGCACTCTCGATACAACATAAATTCACGTGCACGGTACGATGAAGCGGTAGCTGTAGCTAGTCAGTTTAGTCCTACATAACGTAAACCTCGGCATAACGCACCCTGTGGCGCGGTCCCCGACGTGCGCACTCTCGATACAACGTAGATTGACGTGCGCGGTACGATCAAGCTGTAGCCGTAGCTAGCCAGTTTAGTCCTATTGTGCATATAATGCAGCATTGATGGTATCTGATGTCGATGGTGGTACAGTGTGTGTTTATGTTTGCACGGTTAAACCCGCCTTGCAATACCCTTCATTTTGAGGTACATCTTGTATTTTACCCACGGTTTTCTACATAACATAACTCTCGATATAACATAATTTGTGCGTGGTCCCAGAGATTACGTTATATGGAGAGTAGACCTGTACACAGAAGCCTCAGACGGAATAATGACAGGTTCGGCCGGCCGGTGGGTAAGTTTGTTTTGAAAGAAGCAGCAAAAATCAGCCGGCTAGTATGGGGAATTGAGCATCGCCAGTTTGACTTTGACCGCGTTGTCTTTGCAGACGAGGCATGCTTTGCGTTGGATCCTAACGGGTGTGTTATGTCCTGGTACCCGCGGGACGAGAAGCTAATAGTCGAGGTGCCATACTATCCAGCAAAGGTGCACGTTATCGGTGCCATTTGACTTTTCGGAACCGTTCGGCATTTGTCCTTTGCTCCGACGTGGAGTGCAGCAACGTACGCCCAAGGAATGGCAGCCGACATTGCACCGAGTGGCATCGGATTCTTTGCAAACGAGTGATCCTTGCAGCTCGACAATGCTACCTCCCACACGTCAGCTCAAGCACAGCAGGATTTTCTCGATAGCGGAGTACCCAACATCCTGTTTCAACCTCCCTGCTCGCCGGACATGAATCCAATTGAGAATTTGTGGGCTCTTCTCAAGAAGAGAATAATTCCACCTCGCTGTGAGAATTCTGACCAGCTTGTGCAGGCACTGCACCTGGAGTGGGACTCGTTGGCTCCTGACACGGTTTCCCCATGCGTGGAGCCACTGCCACATCGTGTTGAAGCCCTAATCGAAGCAAACGGTGGCCACACGAAATATTGAAGCCCTGCTACTCTGTGTATGAAATAAACTGTTTCGAAACGATCTCCGTCTTCTTTACTTGTCCTGAACTGGAATGAATGTTACCAAGAGTATATAACCCCCCCCCCCCCCCAAGAGTCTGCAACTCTTTATACCCTTTCTATGGGGTACGCCGACGGCGAAAACTCACATCACGTTATGCAGTGTCTCAGTGGTTTGTTTCCAGCCCGTTTTAAGCGAGCAGTGGAGTAATAAAAAGCACTCTCTGACAGAAACTCACTACGCGTATGCAAATCCCCAGCATGATCATGGCAGATATTCGGATTTCGCGCACGCTATCCTTCGTTTGCATGTAGTACGAAGATATCTGAGACACGTGATGTGAGTTTTCGCCGTCGGAGACCACATATGCAGAGGTGCACACTCTTGGGGGTTATACCCTTGATGTTACTCTTCTCTTTGTTTGGCACGGTTTTTTACACTTTGGTGTAAGCATGCATGCGTATGAGTACAGCACATGCACAGTTCATATGGCACACGTGCACACTAGTGTTGTAACTGCCTTTCTTTGCCTGCTCCCAGTCCCGTGCCATCTCCACACTTATACAAAGGGACGACGATAACTACATTTAGAAGACTATATTTGTGACAAGACGACGGAACCACAACTAGACATGACGAACTCAAGACGAAGACATGATGAACTCAAGACGAAGACTGCTTTTCACACCACAGCAACACGCGCATGCACCAACATGACGTACACGCGACGTACACAAAATAACGTACTACAACACTAGCACTTGTACAACTTTGAGGGCGTCAAGGGCCGCATCATCAATTCAACACACGTGAACAGGAATGTTTTGATGTGTGCAGAGATGTCCATAAAATGATTCGAAAGAGTTCTTAGTATTGTATACTTGCACCCATCATATGCCCCTCAACCCACAAGAGGAATATTGCAACATTACTTTGGCTAAAAGTTTGTCAATTGACTTATCACAATGTTGTGCATGAGACTGCCTCACTTCGTAGTGGATTGTGCATTATACCCAATATAAGTACTTTTCTGATGGATAACGCATTAGAATGTCTGGTCATGTGTGCTACCTGTATACAGGCCGGTAAACTTCCTGTTCATTGCGCTGCCCTGAATGGACATCTGGAACTCGTCAAGTATCTACTAGATCTCCAACTCGGCACGATCTCTGTGCAGGACAGGGTAAGTTAAGCAATCCCTATCATTGACTCTCCTTGCTGTAGTCAGTTACTCCTACAGCATTCTTCTTGCCAATGAGGACTACTGTGCTTGCTATAAGTATGTCAATTGCTGGGGAGTAGCAACCCCACCGATTGATATACTCCAAAAGTACCTGTGAATATTGGTGACTCTGCTGCCCGGCACTGATAGCTGCACAAAGCACCTCCATTATGCATTCGGTTCACATAAACCTTGGTCTCAATCATTTCTGATGTGACCTCGGACACACTCATCATCAATTCAACACCCGTGAACAGGAATGTTTTGGTGTGTGCAGAGATGTCCATAAAATGATTCAAAAGAGTATTGTATACTTGCGCCCATCATATGCCTCTCAACCTACAAGAGGAATATTGCAACATTACTTTGCCTCAAAAAGAATGCAAACTAATCAATCTCGTACCCAGCACTAAAGCATGTATTGGGGTTTTCCAGCACTAGCTTGTAAACAACTTTGTCAATTGACTGATCAGAATGTTGTGCAGGCAGGCATAGTGGGTTGGTCAAAGACCATGATTGAGATACGAGAGGTACCTGGTTCAAGTCCTGCCTGGGAGCGGTTTTTCCAGCCGTGCTGCTACCCACAGTCAACTGGGAACTTGTGGCCAGGCACAAGGGTACATGGATGCAGCTAATGGGGTCGTTTTCGGCACTTGTGCCAGTGGTTGTGAGACTTGCCCACTCACCCCCACCGTTAGGCGCTGCATCTGCCGCTAGGGTTTATCGGGTGTTAGCGGCCGTCGTGAGTTCCCTTCCGGAACGGATACGATAATTTACTTTTTTTTTTAATGTTGTGCATGAGACTGCGTCACTTCGTAGTGGATTGTGCATTATACTCAATAAAAGTACTTTTCTGATGGATAACGCATAGGAATGTCTGGACATGTGTGTTTCCTGTACACAGACCGGTAGTCTCCCTGTTCATTACGCTGCCAGGAATGGACATCTGGAAGTAGTCAAGTATCTACTATATCTTCTACCCGACACGATCTCTGCAAAGGATGTAAGTCGGGCAATCTCTATCCTTGATTCTCCTTACGAATTTTTTTCCAGAACACGGTTTGAGCAATATATTTGATCACAACAAGTGGCATCTAGTCACTCGCGCCAGGCCAGAGCAACAGAACCTAACCTTACGGATTCCACCATCTGCCAGTAGAGCAGATCATGGCACACCATCCACTCTTGGGTCCATACAATGGCCCTCCCTACATACTGAAGTGGCGTAAATATATGTTGGACTCAGTATAAAGTCCATGCACTATATGATGTCCAGCGCCCTACATAGAGTCCATTGGTCCAAAATCGACTATACAGCGTCCAGTAGTCCACTCAATTTTGATCAGCTCCATCCAGCCGCGCAATCCCCTATAAGGAGTACACCTTTTCTACAAGTCCCCTATTCACGGTCCACGAGTCCAGTTTATCCAGTCACACCATCCTAGATCCTGTGTGTAGTAAGAAAAAGAACAAACACCTTTTCAGTTTTGCTTGCCTCGTGGCGGCGCATTCCTTTCTTCACTTCAGCCATGGCTGCCAGTTCTGCTGTGCAGTTGCTGACAGGAATATGTCTCGAGGTAACCAAGGAGGAAAAGGAGACGTTCAAAATCAAATCTGGAAAGCGTCTTGTAGTTCTCTGAAGACGTTTCATCAGTGCACGGGATGAAAGCAGAAATTGGAGAACGAGAAAATTCCGCACAGTTCAAATCTGACGAGTCAGGTACACTGACACTCTCTTTCGTTCGACGCCGCAAGGATCCCCTGTTTGACTGGACAAGAGCTGCCTGTACCACCGTGTCAAAAGGCTGTCCAACTACATGGCCGGACAATGACTGAGGTAAGGAAACTTTTACTCGTTTTGATTGGTCTGCTGTTCTGTCGTTATGCTTGAATTTTTTCCCATTTTCAAGGAGCGTATCGCGTTTGTTTGATGTTGCTTGAATGAATGTTCTAAAATTAATCAACGACTTCGTAATAGTTGCGTGACAATACTATCAGTCCTCAAGGACTGCAAGGACTTTGCATCAATCGTCTAGCTATCATCAATTTTATTTCATGAGAAATGTACTATTTTGTCCTGTAATAATCATGGGAACTCCACGACACTCTTCCTCGTATGATGTCAAATACAATGGGATCCACAAACGCAGTGCCAGTGTACTAGTAGTAGTAGGAGGATTGCTTGTATGCCGACGACAAGAAAAATATTCTCAAGATAATACTCGTATTCCATGAAGTAACCGTTTTGATGTCACAAACATGACATTGTGTCAGTGAAATTGCCAAGTGACGACAAATCATTGCATTTCCATCTTGGGGAAGACTGTTTAACTGACGGTAACGCTGTAACACATGTATGTTGGTATGTCTGTGCGTCTTGAGTGTACACAAACGATCTTATTCCTCGTATTACTAAGAGATAATTGTCCCCACCGTCACCTGTTCACAGGTCTTTGAGTGGATGGATTTTCATTGAGCATCACATTTGTTGAGAACTTGGTAGTTGTGGAGAGAGAGAAAAAATGATCGGTGGCGCTAGTTGTTGTCCGTTGCCCAAAGCCAGTGCTTGTGGCGCAAGTGCCTGTGAACATTCACTTTGAACGTCTGCATTTTCTTTAACCTGGAGGTTGGCGAGCATCTCTGCTGGGAGGCTGTTCCACACTTCCACGAGGCAGAAGGGAAATGACCGGCGGATGTAGTTAGGGGCACTGTGTGGGAGGTCAAGCTTCAGGTGGGCAGGGTGGCGGCTGGCGTCGAGCTGCGGTCTAGTCTTGGGGTGAGGCCGTGGCGGTTCCAGAGGTGGAAGCATTGCGGTGAGTTGCGCTGGGCCATCAGTGGAGCGTAGATTGTACAGGTACGTGAGGCCAGCAACCGAGCGGCGTAGACTGAGGGAGTCCAGGAGGGTGCCTGGGCCGATGATGTCCAGAGCCCTCCTCTGGACTTGATCTAGGTGATCGAGATGGGTCTGGCAGGCGCCCATCCAGACCAATGGGGCATATTCCAGGACTGGATGCCCGAGGCTGCATTTGTTGGCAAAATATCGAGCAAAGCAGTTAGCTTTGTCCTTGCTTGAGTGATACTCTGTTCCCTAAGAAAAAGTCATATTTTTATCTTGAAAAGTGAATGATATAAAGGATTAAAGGGAGAGGCTGTTTTACGGTTAATATTCACTGCTCACGGCAAATCCTATGTCTAATTTTGAACTCTGGATAGGGGATGCCTAACTGGCTGGACTTTATACAGGAAGTGTTGTCCACATAAAGACTCTGTAAAGTTGATTTCATAGTTTGGACTATGTACAGTGGATTTTGGACCAATGGACTCTATATAGGGGTGAAGCCAATTGGCTGGACTCTATTCAGGGAGTGATGTCCATCTAAACGTTGAGCTCACAATTGATTCCAAGTTTGGACTTTGTACAGTGGATTTTGGACCAATGGACTCTATATAGGGGTTGGACATCACTCTCTACTGAGTCCAACATATATTTCCTGGTGTATGTGTGTTTGTGTGTGTGTGGGGGGGGGGGGGGGGGGTGGTGCATGCGTGCATGAGTGCGTGAGTGTATACAGCAAGGATAGGCTATCGTCTTAGCTGTTCTATGCTGATGTACTTTGTGTTGTGCAGACCACGTGTGCATTGGTGGTCGATTCTCATAGCTTCACAGGTTGCATGGATTAGGCAGTTATCTGGCACTAGTCTTGATCTGTATCATTCAGATCTTGTCCGCTATCATTTCTATAAGAGAAAATCTGTGGGTGCACCTCCAATACATTTCGCAGATTTGCGTGCTTTTCTTGTGACGGACGCATACATGGTACATGGTGTGTATGCGTGTACATGTGTGTGTGTGTGTGTGTATGTGTGTGTAGCGGGGGGGGGGGGGGGGGGTATGTGCATGTTTGTGTGTACATGTACAAATATAATTAGGGCTGAAACAATTATACTTGGTCCACGATTTCAAGCTCTTGGACATCAAGAAAGCGTATCTCCAAGTCCACGTCGCTAAGTAGTATCTGAAGTACCAGACTGTCCTTTGGAACGGAAAGCCATACGTGATGACACGAATGGGCTTTGGACTCAGTATTGCACCGAAGTACATGGGCATCATCGCCCATTATACAACGCGCGGTTACCCGAAAAGTTGACAGCTACATCGATGATATGCTGACCCCGTCAAATTGCGCTGACGCCGGTGCCAAGACGATGCTTGAGTACAGCCTGCCCACGAAGCCCGCCGAGCCGCTGGAAGAGTCGAGAGGATTGGGCCTGCAGCTGTGCGACGCCGGAAGCGTCCTCACCTGGCGACGCCGAGATGGCAGCGACCTCCGTGTACCGGAGGTCTTGACGAAGCGTGCCATATTCAAATGGTGCGGTAGGCTAAGGGCCCTTGCACACTACATAGAAAATCCCATTTTTGTTGCGTTCCTGTAAAAGTTACCATGCAAACGGTCTGCTTTTCGCGGGAAACCTAAAATGTTGCGCAAACGTATTCAGCAAACTCCGGACGGGTATACAAAGGCGCGTTTTTGTTTTATTTGCATTTCTGGACTGTAGTTTGCTTTGCACCTTCCGTGAGACTTTTTGTCATCAGGTCTTTTTTTCCTTTCGATTTGTTCCTTGTTTTGAGTAGTTGCACGTTGTTTGTTTTCTTCTGTGGCGTTGAAGCTAGTTTGAGAAGTTGAAGTTCAACATGCCGAAAGTTGTCTTCAATGATGAGATGGAGGGGAAGTTGATCGAGCTGTGGGCATACTACCAGCGGGTGAAAAGTGGAACAATGAAGAAGAGGTCACAGAAGGAGAAAGAGATCGCTGAAGACCTCAATCTCTATGCTAGGAGTGTTGGCCTGGACATGGCATTCGATGGGAAGATGGTCCACAATAAAATCGATAATTTGAAGGCCAAGTCCAAAGAGCTGTACCGAAAATTTCGGAAAACTACATCGACTGGCAGCCCAGCACCTGGACCAGACGATGCCATCGACCTTGAGGGGGCCTATGCTGGGTGGGCCAATTTTAAGAAATGGCACAAGCTTTTCAAGGACGTGCCTGGGTTTGGGCCCTTGACCAGCATCTCATCGCTCTCTGTTGCTGCCGCAAGTTCCAGCAGCGCGGTCAGCAGCAGATCTCCAAGTCCAATCATTGATTTGGAGAGTTCAACTGGTCTGGTAGAAACTGCCAACGCCGCTGCAAGCTTGGGAACTGCAACACCCCATGACCGGCACAGAAGTTCCACTTCATCTTCTGCAGCTGTGAGCATCCCCGTGACCCCATCTAGCACCGGGCAGGCTTCACAGCCAACGACACCTCGTGTCAGTCGTCCACCACTTTGTCTAACTGGCGACTACAGCGATGACGATTTTTTTGGCGATGTTGTAACCGCGACTGACAGCGAACAGCTCGCCACAACGCCTGCCACCCCAACATATCAGCCAGGGCAGCACAGGAACAAGCGTCGTCCACATGACGATACTCCCGAACCATTAGAGAGTGACGAACCTGGTGCTGCAGCAGCTGTGGGCGGAAGAAAGAAAAAAAAGGAGAGCCGCACCAGGTCACACCGACGCAACTCTCACGAGCTCCATCGAAGATGTCGGTATGAAGATGGTGGAGAAGCTGACAACTTCTCAGGCCAACCTCCAGGTCAACCAGCAAACATTTGTGTCTGGCATCCTCCAGCAGCAACGGAAAAACACGCAGTTGCTCGTGCAGAGCCAGATGACATTTTTGAAGCAGCTATTTGATGGTGACAAATAATACTTCGCATCTCCCTCTCTTTCTCTATCTATTTCTCTCCCTATCTATCTATCTATCTATCTC